GCTGGGAAAACTTATCACTAGATAATCTTCATTGTAGTGTATGATTTGCATGAGAAGAAAAACAAATGTATACACTGGAAGAGTTGCAGCCAAGATGTCTAGAATAAGTGAATCAAGATAAAGCATGACAACTCCTATCCTGACATCTAGTTGGGAGAAAGATGTATGTGTCTGAAAGGGGGACGCGCATGCACACAATCATTCATAAAAGTTCATTTACCTTTGATTCTGTGGTTATCCAACTACCATAAAAAAATGGAAGGGTTCTCAGCCAAGGTTAGGGAACATTCATAGAGGATATATATAACACTTTAGTGTGAGTTTCATGTGTTAGAGAAAATGTAAAGAAATAGCTTCTCCTATAGTCGGGCACGGCAGTCAGGATGGGTGGAGACTTGGTTGAGTTTCCATTGGACCGGGTCTGAAAAAAATAAGGGAAGTCCCTCCTCCTGACTGTGCCTGTCAGTTTTTCGACTCGGTCGAGTCCGGACCAGTCGCATCTAGGATAGCTCCATTCCAAAGCAAATAATAATAATAATAATAATAATAATAATAATAATAATAATAATAATAATAATGGAATCCAGCAGAAGGGAATTGTAATTTATCCTCTTCTAGCTCCCTGCTAGCAATCGGCCCAGCAAGAGGCTTAACTCCGCTGGAGACCGCGCGGAGGTTCAATTGCCGGCTGGCAATTGCCTCGCCCACGCGCACGAGTTCGCTCTGTCGCGTTTGGGCCTCCTCATATCGGGCGGCTGCAGGGACGGCAGGAGAATGAAGATCGATCGCCCAGCTGCTCCCTCTTTGGCGCGACGTGTTTTCCGCGCCTCGTTAGTGCTGTAGGCCGGCTGGCTAGCACTTGCATCGGCGGATCGCCTCGGAGCGACTAATCAAGGCCTCAGGGAGACAGCGTGGCCTTTCTCTTTATCGGCTGGCAGCTCGTTAGCGCGAGGGAGATTCCGCGCGTCTGGGAGTGCTTAGACCGGCTGGCTAGCACACCCCAGGGCCGTATCTGCCGTTGCATCCTCCGTACTGTGAGTACAGCTCCTAGCGAGCTTTGGTGGGCCCAGTTTAATTCTTGGAGGTTGGGCGGCCATTTTAGCCTTTCTTCAGAGCCTTTTTCAAGATGGCGGACGCCAAGGCTTGCAGTAAAAGTGGTAAAGGGAAGCGCCCTGCCTCATCTGAGGATCCAGGAGAAGGCACTTCCACTGGCACCCAGGCTAAGAGGTCTAGAACCCAGGCTCCTAACCAGGCCTCAATGTCCAGAGAGGAGAAGAGGAGACATAATGCGATAGAGAAGGCCTGCAATAAAGCGGCTTCTTCTTCAAAGGCACAGCCCGGGCCTGTTACTGTCCCAGTAGCTGCCTCTTCCTCAGTGGGGGATGTTACACAGTCTTCTCTGGTGCCAGATCTCTCCCCAGATATCTCAGTCACTGAGGATTCCTCAGCTCCAGTTCCAGAGGCTGTTTTTCCTTCAGGGAATTCTGGAGACCCTTCTCTACAAGCTGAGGAGAATCCAGATCCTATTCCCCACTTGTCTGGAGACCACGATAACCAGGCCTCTCAAGGCCAGAAGCTAGATGTCACTCCAGCTTTGGCCCAGTTGATTGCTAATTCCATCAGACAGGGGATTGCCCAAGGTCTTCAGGAGAGATCTTCTTCCAAAGTTTCTGATTATTTGAGCCGTCACACCCCTTCCGTACGCTCCCAGCCTTTGCAAGCCTCATCTCAGGCCCCAACGAGAGCAGTTTCTCCTTCCAGGGCCAGCCAGGGCTCCCTTTCAGGAGAAGAGGAACAGGCCATTATTGAGCAGGATTTATCCGAGGGTGAGGGTTTGGAACCTGATCAACCCCCCTTTGTCGGCTTGTTTCGCCCTCAGATGTTCCGCTCTTTGTTATACAAGGCCCAAACCACCACTGGCCTTGGCCTGCCAGAAAACAAAGACCAACCTCTGCCAGGGTCATCGACATCTTCTTCCTCTCTTTTTGAGGTGCCTACAATTCAAACCGAAATTGTGCCAGCTCCTAAATTATTTACAGATGTGTTGCAGAGGCAATGGAAAAATCCCAGTACAGGTCCCATTCCTAACAGTCTTGATAGACGTTTATATAATTTGGCGTCGGAGTATGCTTCTCTTTTACAGATACCCTCTGTGGATGCACCAGTAGCAGCCCTTTCATCACCTTCACCTTCTTCAGGCCCTGCAGAGGAGTCTCTATGACCGGAGGAAAGAAAGGCGGAACGTACACTTATCAAGGGCCATGAAGCAGCAGCCTGGTCTGTCCAAGCAGCTTCAGCTGCGTCTTTTTTTAATCGGGCATCGATCCTCTGGTTGAAGCAGCTGCAGGGTCGTATACCCTCTGCTGATGTGAGAACACATCAAGACATTAACAAAATACTAGCAGCAGTAGAATTTTCAGCGGACGCCACCTTGAACGCGGCCAGATTTTCGGCAAAAGCCATAGGCTCCGCAGTCACTTCCCGAAGGTTATTGTGGTTAAAATATTGGCAGGCTGACGTGCGTAATAAATGGCGTCTGGCCTCATCACCATATGCGGGTGACAAGCTTTTTGGTCCCTCTCTTGAACCCCTTCTAATTGAGACCAGAGACCACCGAAAGATCTTACCAGCCTTGTCTCGCAGGGCAGAAGGTCGTTCGTCTAGCTCCTTTCGGTCGCAGTCCTTTCGAGGCTCCAATTCCAGCTATTTCCAGCAGAGGTCTCAGCGCTCCTTCTAACAGCGGGGGACCTTTCATCAGGACAATCAGGTCAGACAGGTTCCCAGATTCCCCCCCAGGAGACCCCAGAGGGGTGGCAGAGGACGTCCTTTCCGAAGGTCTCGCTAGAACTCTGGTTCCGGCCCAACTGGGAGGCCGTCTAGCTCTTTTCTCCCAGGCCTGGGAGAATAGCATTACAGATGAGTGAGTTAAAAATACCATCAAATTCGGCCTTTCCCTTGAATTCATATCTACCCCTCCTAGTAGATTTATACGTTGCCCAGTTTCTCTTAACAGAGTGAAACGGGCTCAGGTAGAAGCAGCTATTGGCCACTTATTGTCTATACGGGCCATCCAACCTGTTCCCCCTTCCGAATTCAGCCAGGGGTTTTACTCCCGCCTTTTTTTTAGTACAAAAGTCCTCGGGGGGTTGGCGCCCTATCCTTGATTTGAAATCCTTGAACCGGCACATAACTTATCGCCAGTTCAAGATGCATTCCTTACAGACAATTTTACTTTGTATACGGGAAGGAGATTTTTTGTTTTCCGTGGACTTAACTGAAGCCTACCTCCACGTTCCAATCCTTCCCAACCACCGTAAATTCCTTCGTTTTTGTTATAATTCCAAGCATTATCAGTACCGTGCCCTCCCCTTTGGTTTGTCCTCGGCTCCCAGGGCCTTTACCAAAATAATGGCTGCCCTTATGGGTTATGTAGCCACCATCCCAATTAGGGTCTCCTTTTATTTGGATAATGTTCTAATTTTGTCACGCTCTTTGCAGCAGGCACAGACAGACCTAGCTATCACCCTTCAGATCCTCCAGAACCATGGGTTCTCGGTGAATCTGTCTAAGAGCCATTTAACCCCTTCCACTAGAATCTGCCATCTAGGGGCGGTTATTGATACCTTGTCCTCTGAGGTCTTCCTTTCACCAGACCGCGTTGACAGCCTTAGGGATTTAGCTAGCCGAATACAAGATAGGGGGACTTCTTCCATCCTCTCCCTCTCTCGCCTTCTTGGCAAGATGGTGTCTACCTTCGGGATAGTCCCTTGGGCTCGTTTACACTGCCGGGACTTACAATGGCTACTACTACCCTTTCAACGTTCACATAGGGACAACTCGACCACGAGGCTGATCTTGCCTCCTCCGGTTCTACGATCTCTCTCCTGGTGGACGTCGGGAGCATTGTTAAGAGGGACCAAGTTCCGAGAGCCTCAACGTCTTCTTATCACGACGGATGCCAGCTTGTCAGGGTGGGGCGCCCATCTAGGTCCCCACCTAGCTCAGGGCCAATGGTCGGAGAACGAGCAACGATTGAACATCAATGTGCTCGAACTGCGGGCTATCTTCCTCGCCTTGAAAGCCTTCAAATCTCACGCTCTGCACCGGGATGTCCTAATTCGTACCAACAACGTAACAGCCAAGGCGCACGTGAACCGCCTCGGGGGGACACGTTCCAGGGCCCTGATGCGAGAAGCACAACGGTTGGGCCTATGGGCGGAAACCCACCTGGCATCTGTACAAGCGGCTCACATCTCCGGAATTCACAACCAGATGGCCGATTCCCTCAGTCGGGCTCCGATCGACAACGCAGAGTGGTCCATTTCTCCTCAGCTGTTTCAGGAAATAGTCCGCCGCTTCGGGCTTCCAACGGTGGACCTCTTCGCCAGTGCTTCCAACCATCAGCTCCCTCAGTTCTTTGCCAGGTTCCCCTGCCCCGAGGCGGAGGCAGTGGATGCGCTGCGGTGTCCGTGGCTGTCCAGACAACTTCTATATGCCTTTCCCCCAATCAGCCTCTTGCCCAGGGTAATTCGGAAATTGCTACAAGAACAGGCGGAGATGATTCTCATTGCCCCATCCTGGAACCAGCGTCCTTGGTTTGCAGACCTCGTATCCCTGTCAGTTCAACCACCTTGGCGGATACCGGACGATCAGGCAACGCTTTCCCAAGGTCAGTTACAGCATCCAGACCCTCTCTGGTTCCAGCTCACCGTCTGGCGATTGAGCGGGGCTTGCTAACCGAACTTCCCTTATCGGAGAGGGCCATCTCTACTATCCAGGCAGCACGAAGGGCCTCTACTACCCACATTTATGAATCCACCTAGCGTGCCTTCTCTTTGTGGTGTAAAAGGCGCCGTCACACACCTATGTCAGCGTCAGTTCCTTTGATCATTGAGTTCCTTCAGGATGGGTTTGTCGCTGGTCTTTCTCCGAACACTCTTCGGCGTCAGGTGGCGGCTCTCTCCACAGTGTTGTCCAGCTCCTCCTCGGATCCTTTGTCCAAGGAACCTCTAATTCGGCAATTTTTACGAGGCGCAATGAACATCCGACCGCCCGCAGTCCATAGGTACCCCACGTGGGATTTACCTAAAGTCCTACAGGCCCTCACCGGGCCACCCTTTGAACCTCTACGAGGCATTTCCTTGAAACACCTTTCCTTCAAGGTGGCCTTCCTAGTGGCAGTGACCTCAGCCCGTCGAATTTTAGAGATGGCGGCCCTTTCGATCCGGAAAGAACTATGCATTTTCCACCAAGACAGGGTAGTACTCAGACTGGACCCTTCCTTCATCCCGAAGGTTAATTCAATATTTCACCGGTCACAAGAAGTGGTCCTCCCAGATTTCTGTCCAGCTCCTCGCCATCACCTCGAAAAGCGATGGCATACCCTGGACGTTCGACGAGCGGTCAAGATATACATCGCCCGCACTGCAGCCTTCCGGCGTTCGGATGCACTCTTCATGTCATTCTTACCTTCTTCCCTAGGATCTAAGACTTCCTCTTCTACCTTGGGCCGATGGATTCGGGCGTGTATTTCCACAGCTTATGAAGCTTCGGCCCTTCCGGCTCCACGCAACATAACAGCCCATTCTACACGAAGTGCGGCCACATCAGCGGCATGGTCCACCCGGGCCACTATCGATGAGATTTGTCGGGCAGCCACTTGGGCTTCCCCTTCCCCTTTCGTCCGTCACTACCGCCTGGACAAGTTTGCATCGGCGGACGCGGCCTTTGGCCGAAGGGTTCTCCAAGGTGTCCATACAGCCTCCTGAGTGTGGGACCGGCCTTCTCCCGCCCAACTAGACACCTCGCTTTGGTATGTCCCATCCTGACTGCCGTGCCCGACTATAGGAGAATGGGCGTTGGTACTTACCTGATACGCCTCTTCTCTGACTGTCGGGCACGGCAGTCAGCCCCTCCCTGTGTGGGGAAGGCCGGTCCCTGCACAACTTCACTGGGGAGGGGGCTGGGGTGTTTCTAATGTGTTTGTTTTCAATTCCTAGATACGACTATCTGCACAGGCTCCCTCGTCTCAAAACTGACAGGCACAGTCAGGAGGAGGGACTTCCCTTATTTTTTGCAGACCCGGTCCAATGGAAACTCAACCAAGTCTCCACCCATCCTGACTGCCGTGCCCGACAGTCAGAGAAGAGGCGTATCAGGTAAGTACCAACGCCCATTCTCATAGATAGTATTTGCTTTACATTCATTCATTCAGCGATCATTGAAAGTTGCAGCAGTGCTGGGAAAAAAATGGGCATACAACTGATACTCGAAGTACCAGAAGTCAAAGCATTCCCATGGTCACTTGAATATCATTTGAGACCTTCCTTGCTGGCTTCCCACAAGTAAAGTCAGTGGGGAAGCCAGCAGGGAAAATATTCTGGTAAGTCACTCCCACTTTTTCTCCTGCATTCCCCGTCCTACCCATGCACAGCCTTCCCTGGCCTCCCACAACACATCTTGCATGAGACCTCCCACACCCTCCCCCAGCCTCCTGTGTCTTCCCTATGGCACATCCTTATGGCATGTCCATGATCCTTACCTGGGATTCTTGCCTCGTCCTGTTTAACAATTCACACATCTAGAGGTTCCAATGGCAAATGGGTCTGTCTGAGTTTGCCATCACCAATGGATGTCATCCTATGATGTTACATTTTATGACCATATTGCTTAGCTGTGGCAATCCCAGTTTCAGTTGCTGTTGTAACCTGAGGACTACCTGTTTGTGCTGGTTTTATATGTGTTGGTCTTCTCGTGCAATCTTTTTAAACAGAAATTGTTATTAAAATACAACAAATCACAACTCATATATTACTTCCTAAGTTGTCCTTATTAAGTTCTTTGGATAATCCAAACATTTTGAAAAGAAAGAATTGATAGTTTTCTTATTGGTTGTAGCCAGACAGTAGCAAAATTCTAAAATGCAGAAAAAGATTTGAATATTTATTATAATAGATGATGGCACAAACTCTGGAAATTTGTTCTAATGGAAAAATCTCCCCCCCCCACCCGAAAGTGTAGATATTATTATAAAGGAAGCTTTTTTTTAAACTTCACCTGGTTTAAACTTATTAATTATGCACAACAAAAGCATAATTATTCTATGCAGTTCCAGTAAAGTTATATATGAGTTTTGCTTCTACAATAGATATATAGTACACCATATTATTAATAATTATTAACAGAATTAAATAAAAATATTCTAATCACTCATGATTATTTTCCTTTTTAGTATATTTAAGGTGTGATTAAAACATATTTATAAGGCAGTTTATGTGTCATGTATATATAAATCTTGCCACACACGTTTGAAAATGTCTTAATCACAGTAGGAAGTTTGTGCTATGACAAAAATAATTACTTCATGGCTAGAAACATCTGGATCAGTCATGTGTTGTCTGGAAATAGTTACAGCTTCAGTTCTTACTGTGAGAAAGCAGGGTTCTGTATTAGGTAGCAGCATATACAGCAAATAATATATTTTAGCTATTCATTTCAGGTAGTAGAGAAATGGAAGTCATTATAAAAATAGCATTGTTATTCACATCTATCATTTCTGTTGTGTGCTAAATACAATTATTTGAAATGGGTGGATGGCCATCCAGAACAGCTCCAGCATGGTCTTTTGTAACTATTCTAAGTTTGCAAACATATTCTTTCCTCCAAACGCTTTCATTGCATTTATCACTTGTAAAGGTGATCCACATCTCAAATAAATCCCTCTTGAGTGTCTTTGTGAATTCAGCAGACATATCAGCGGTTTCTGATAGGTGTTCTGAACTTCAATTAGTCTTGACTGTAGACTGAAGTATTCCCTGGAAATGGTTTCATTGAAACATGATTGCTTCCATCTGTAGAAACTCCAGTGAGCAGTATGATTTTAGAGCACCGTCAACAAAATGTGGTACAAGCAGAGTGAGCAATTGCTTCTACATTGGTTGAAGTACTTGAAACTGTTGGGGCAACCTCAGATTATCTTTTTCAATGTGAAGTACGAAAACATCCTCTGTTATAATAACTGCATTGTTGACGGGTTAAAAGAATCTGTCAATTTTCCTGACGGGTGTCCTCCTTGAACTGCTTTTCTTGTGCTTTTCCACAATCACATGAAACTGAATCAGTTGTGTCTTTATTTGCAATGGAGGTGTATGTGCTAGCTTTCTGTATTAAAGCTGCGTAGAGTTCCAGATTCGAAGGGCAAAATGTTTGCACACATAGCACATGCTGGGAACACCTTGAAGCAGCGTTGCCTTTTCCTGACATTGAACAACTGCTGCCGCCACAGAGTTGAGAAAGGATGTATTTGCAAACCCTTTCTCTCCAACTATTGTTGCAATGGATCTCTTGTAAATATGTCTCCTGTGTTAAGGATATTGGTGTTGTGTTACCAACCAGCAGAGTAAATGCACAAGGAAACGTTGCTGAGAGCAATGAATAAGAGATATGCAAACTGGTTTATCAAAAGCTTACTTTATAGTAGAAAAACAGTCTCATAGTCTTTAAACAAATTCCAAGTCTTTGCCAGTAAATCAGTCCAGTAGTTACAGATATCTTCTTACCAAACAAACAGTAGTTGGTTAGAATAACAAACTCACTCTGGTTCACAAACCACGATGGTAGCAAATCCATCCAACAATAATTACAGATAGCAACTCCTCTCAATGGCAGCATATCATACTCCGGTAGCATATCACATCATCTTCATACACAATGGCAGCATATCATAGCAGCAACTGAACACGTTACAATACCTTGCTTAAATACTCTCACAACCAATGATTACCTAATTATAGCATGACTCAGCATTAAAGCCTTAAAGTAACATAATACATTTACAGATTAAAGGTACAGTACACATATATTGCCTGGACAACTAGTTAGGCTCAAACCATATCCTAACATCCTGGTTCTATATTTATTTGTTCATTTATTTATATATTTGTTTCTATAACTATCCATCTCAACAAGTGACTCTGGGTGGCAATGTTTTGGATAGGTATTCCAAATCCGTTTTGCTTTTCAAATCCAAATCTTTGCCTAGCCATGCTTTATACCAGGGGTGTCAAACTCAAGGCCTGTGGCCCACATCCACCCTACAGGGTGCTTAGATCTGGCCCATGGGGTCGCCCTGGAAACAGTGAAGGATCAGCCTATGATCCCTCTGCCAGTGAAAACAGAGCTTGGGAGGGCCGCGTGAGCTTCGTTTTTGCTGGCAGAGGGTTGCAGGAGTCCGTCGCAGCTGGAAATGGAGCTTGGGAGGCTGCTTTTGCTGGCAGAGCACTTGGGCCTCCACAGGTACCCCTGACATAAATGATGTCAAACTGGCTATGCCCATTCTGGGCCCCCAAGGTCAAACACAACCCTGATGTGGCCCTCAATGAAGTCGAGTTTGACACCCCTCTTTCTATACCAGATTTAAGTTTTAGCTCCATACCAAACAGCCTCTATCAAAGTTTAAGCGAGAACAAAATTCCTCCCACTATTAAATTGTTTGTATGAAAGTTAAAGTCTCTGCCACTGACTGTCTTTATGCAATGAAACTTTCCACTTTTTGTTTTATCGCCTCTCTTTCTCTGAAGGAAACAAGACCTCCCAAACCATGAGTCCTGGGATCACAGGGCATCATGCATTCATTGACCAGTCCCTTTTTTTTCTTTTCACATGCCAGTTGAGATGCCCCAGGTTTGAGATGCCTTTTCAGTGCATCACAGACAGCTAGGAATAGTTGCCCTGTTCCTTGATGGTTGCATGCATTGTACCTAGTGCCATAGGCTAACCTAGTCCTATCGTTTGGGTTTTACTTTTTGCCTGGTCTAGCTAAAACTTGAATGTGGTATAGAGAGTATCTCTTCAAAAAATCCAGATTTATGGTTATCCAGTCTTAACCTAAGAGTAAAAGAAAATGAATGGTAGGTCTCGGATCTGAGGCATTTTGTAGCAAGAGCTTCTTTAAGGAGTTAGTTTTGGATTTCTGTTACTAAGGTACTGAAGTTAGAAAGAAAAAAAAGACTAACTTTCTTGTGGATCTTAGTATCTTATTTGCTGTCAGATCCAAGCCCAGAAACAAGATAGCATGATCCAATCGAGTTCAATCCTTTATTTGTGTAAAACTAATGAACAGAATCTTGCCAAACTAATTCTATAATTTTCTTACCTACTAGTTATAATCTGAGAGATTCTAGGTAGTGGCTACTTTGAGCCTCTTCACCCCGTTGCTCTCTAGCTCAGCACCAGTGGTGAAATCTAAATTTCTTTTTTTTTTTTTAGAATTTTTTTTTTATATTTTATTATTAAAATAACATTACAAACAACATATAGAAATTTCTTTCCTACAGGTTCTGTGGGCTTGGCTTGGTAGGTGTGGCTAGGTGGGGGGGGGTCATGTGACTGGGTGGGCATGGCTATGTAACCATGTGACTGGGGGATCAAAAGACAAACTCACCAAGAATGAGTTGGACTAGATGACCTCCAGGTCCCTTCCAGCCCTGGATTATCCTCTGAAGCTGCATCTAGTGCCAGGTTTTAAGTCCTTTCTTCCTCTCCTTTTTCTTTCTTTCTTTCCTTCCTTCCTTCCTTCCTTCCTTCCTTCCTTCCTTCCTTCCTTCCTTCCTTCCTTCCTTCCTTCCTTCCTTCCTCCCTCCCTCCCTCCCTCCCTCCCTCCCTCCCTCCCTCCCTCCCTTTCAAGAACAAAAGCCTGCTGGGAGCAAAAAGCGTTTTTTTTAACTACCTATTCGCCCGAGCCTAAATGCCTAAAAAATAAAAAAAAAAGTTCCGACAATCAGCTGAGCAATGTTGGAACTTTTTTTTTTTTTTTTTTTACTTTTTAAAGCATTTTTAACTACCGGTTCTGGCATGTACCCCTGCATGTGCAGAGGGTACAAAACACATTACTGCCTGGTTAAAACCAGGAAATAACAGCAGAGCCTCGCACCAGGATCGCTACCAGTTCTCTGAACCACCCGCCAGACTCGCTACCGGATCAGGCGATCAGAACCGAACTGGGAGCATTTCACCTCTGCTCAGG